CGACGTGACCCGCGGCGGACGGGGACCCCGAGAGAGGAAAACTTCACACCACCATAAACGTTACCACACCCGACTTTATTAAGTTTGAACCTTGAGCCTGGTTTGAAAATCTCTGGTGAATGATTAACGCAGAAATGGCTTTGGTGACACAGCTTGATTTCTACAGAGCTCACTACCGTAGCTGCATCTTCTTTTCTTTAAGTCTTTCCATTTTGCCCCCGTATGTTTCCTTGACTGGAAACGGTAAATGTATGTACACAAACGAATGAAACTAGGTTATATATAAATAGTTTCTGCAAGTACATGGGAATGGAGCTTAGTACCCTTAAACAAATAACACCTTGCCTCCCAAAATAAAATTTAATTAAAGTTTTTACAAATTTTGAACCCTTAAAATTTGGATTCTCCCCCCCCCAAATCTGTGCTTCTTGATATTTTTTTTTATTTAGGTAAGAACCATAGTTTACTAGATTTTTGTTGACTTTAAAAACATTTCTGAGTACATGGGAATGGAGCTTAGTACCCTTAAACAAATAACACCTTGCCTCCCAAAATAAAATTTAATTAAAGTTTTTACAAATTTTGAACCCTTAAAATTTGGATTCTCCCCCCCCCAAATCTGTGCTTCTTGATATTTTTTTTTATTTAGGTAAGAACCATAGTTTACTAGATTTTTGTTGACTTTAAAAACATTTCTGCAAATAACTGAAAGGTGACTTTTATTATTATATTATCTCGCAGTGTAACTTCCCTCCCTTACCTCTTCCATAGGAAGTGGTTTTTTGTCTTTACTACATGAAACTTCATAGGTGAAAGATTTATATTAAACCCCAAGCCGGTTTGTTGTAGCTCTTGCAGGAGGCCTTATGCACTGTAGTTCCTCCTGTTCTCCATGTTTCAGGCGAGCAAAATTGTGTTTTACACAACCAGGGGACTGTCAGTGTCTGGCAGCTCTCCACACAGTTAGTAAATATTGGCCTTATCTGATATAGCCAGGCTTGAAAAGATATGCCAGAAGCCCAGATTAGATTGCTGGCTACTGCTTTATTAATCAATGTAATAATTTATTTTTAGTTTTGTAAGTCATATCATCTGTTTTCTTTCTCATATTACATTTTCTATGGTACTGGTACAGAAAATGAGCCCTGTTTAAAAATTAAAGGTGATTGAAAAGTTTCAGTGGAATATGTTTGGCGCTACCATAGTTTCTGTGACAGCTGATGAATGTTTTCTTCAAAATGCTTTTGTCAGAAATTTGTAAGGCATAAAGAGTTTAATTTTTGTATCTAAATTAGCTGTCTTCAAAACTATGCATAGAAAGATGTTTCCATCTTTTTCTGGTTTTAATCATTTTAATGAAATGAAGCTTTCAAGTTACATATTCCTTATTTGAAATACAGGCTGGGAGCCTATGATTTTAATGTTTAAACTGAGATTTTTGGTGTAAGAAGAGGAGCCACTGGGCCTAAAACTTTAGAGAAAATAAGGCAATTTACAGTAGCTTTTGACTGGCCAGTGGTTATTGATTTTAATGGGGGGGGTGGTTTGTTTTTGAGGTAAGTGATGGGGGGGTTGTTTGGTGTTTTGGGGTTTTTTTTTGCATATGAAACTACAAAGTGGAGAAACAATTTAATTCCTTTTTCCAAATGGATCAGTAAGCTGGGGGGAAAACCAAGCAAACACAACAAACAACAGAAGAAAGTAATATATGCATTGCATGGAAGGAAGCACAGCTTTGTGGTCAAAATTATTTGTCTAATTGGACAGGAAAGCTGCAAGGGAGCAAAGAACCGAGTATGGGTTCTCGAGGCTGGGGTTGTCCTCTCGTCTCTGGATTCCTTGTGAAATCTTAGTGGAATCGCAGACCTGCCCCAGAGCGAAGGAGGCGTGCAGGCTGCAGCCCGGCACCGGGGGCGACGCCGCATCCCGCAGCAGGCTGCGGTGCTCCGTGGAGCGCTCCGGCAGCGGTGGGGGTCTGCTCTGCCCTTCCCGAGGCAACCCGGAGGGCAACGGAGAGCTGGCCTCTCCCAATGCAGAGTAGAGCTGGGATCTGCTGGGAAAGGCAGGAGCACCCAAAATGCGCAGTACGTGTGCGGTCTGTGTGCAGCATGTGCGCTGGTTCCAGTTGCGTGACGGGGAAGTGACTCTTCAGCCAGAGGAGCCGGGCATCGCTCGGCTCGAAGCAGGGCTCCGTTGCCTTGAGGTGGTGCCATGCCTTTCTTCCAAGTATGCGCCAGATCTCAAGCTGTGCGTTAAGCAGGCAGGCTTTCTGAAAAGGCTGGTTTCTATTAACCAAACACCACCACGCACAGCTTTGTGATGAGAGGCAGAAGTAGGTTTGAATCCTCAGCTTCCTTAACCGTGAGGTTTCTTTTCCTGCAAACCCATTAGCTTCTATCGGCCAATTTCGTCATCAGAGGAGACGGGGCCACACAAATGACAGCTTCCATCATTACAGTATTCATTCCTGGAGTGCCTCTGCATGGAGGAAGGCAGACATGCTTTGGAGAAATTCGGATGAGCATGTAAAGATGCATGTTTGTAAGGACATCAAACAAATGAAACTGGGTTGAATTATATTCTGCCATTGCTTGGATGTTGAGTGCTGGATTGTGCAACCTTAGTGTTTTATTATAGCTTTCTGCTCTTTAAAAGACGGCAAATTAATTAGACAACACAGAAAAGCCATCATATGGATCATAAACAGGATTACAATCTATTGGTGACTGCCACTTGAGTTGACAGACTAGCTAATGATGGTTGTCAGCCTCTTTGTAGAGTAATAGAGTAGAAGTGTTGTAGCATTTCACAAGTATTTTCTGAATGCAAAGGAGTGGTGTGACGGATTTCGGATCGTTTCCAAGTTCTGGAAAGAAGTGTTCTTTCCTGGGTGGGCTTTTTTCTTCCCTTTTTCCTCAAGGTTGACTCATTCTACTTCATTCCCACTGCCAGCCTTTCCTATTGAAGCCTTCACACCACCCTTGTTCTGGTCTTACTCTTCTCTCCTTCCCACAGCTATTCCAGCATGTTCGAGCTGTTGCTATGTTCTTGTCTGGTTTTTACTTTTCTGCTCAGCCCTCTCTGCTCTAGCTTAGATACAGGTCCTTCTCCCCTAGCTCATACCAGGCTCTGATTTTTAGGGGCATCTACATGTACCTTTGGGCTTTGCGTGCCTGTACTGTCTCATTTTTTTCCCCCAACACAAGCAATTTTCACTTTTTCTGCCCTCTGGTTCCATGTTTGTCAAAGTGTGGATTTCATTGACATGTTTATTCTGATTTGACTTCTATCCTTCTGTATTTGAGTGGTAGAGTTCCCATTACTTATGTCTGCTTTTATTATCTAACTCCCTGCCGTTACGAGCAAACGTGACAGCAGAAGTCTTTGGAATCACCGGACGGGCCATTCCTCAACTGCTGCCTGGGGATGGGGCACGTGGAGGGGACCTGTTCAAGAGTAAAGCCTCCCAGATGCTGGAGTGCTTTAATTTGGGCTGGCATTTTAAGGTTTTTGTGGATCTTTGAGAACTATGTTCTTTTTAAAATGTGTGACCAAATCTGGTCAGACTTTCTCGAGGAGAGGAAAAGGAATTTTCCATGCAAAAGTCAGCCCACATACAAATGTTAAGCCCACATTAGGGAGCGTGGATGTTCTGGAGAGTTCCCAAGTAAAGGCACCAACGTCCTAAAAAAAGTGTTCTTTTCTAGCTTCATCTGGAAAGTGGCTGGAACCCTGTTGGACAAAATTTTCTGTGAAAATCACTTTAGTTAAGCATACACTATGGAAATTGCATTTTAAAAGTTTATGAAAATAAACTCAAATGTGCCTTGTAACAGGAGGTGTCGAGGCAGCCTTCAACAGGTAACGCGTCGGGTTTTGGCTGTGTTGTCTACACATGCCGAATAAGATCAGCCTCTGAACTTTGGCACAACCGCTGTTGTGTGTGATTAGAAGGAGCTTGGAGGTGATCATGATAGATTGCTTATTGTTCCAACAGTGATTTTTTTGTTGTTGTTGAAGGACTAACCCTTCATTTGTAGATGGCCTATATGTTTACGTAGGAAAACCAGATCCTGAAAGTAGGAATAGATACTCTTTTCCTAAAATGCTGGGGTGAAATGATCATTTATTACTGTAGATACAGATCAATATATGACTTTAATTTGCACAGCTTCTTGCATAATAGCATCCCAGCAGAAAACTCTGATGATACTGGAAAGGAAGCTCTTGTAGGACTCGGTGCAGACTGCGGGGAATGGGATGGTAATGAAAACTATGGAATAAGAGCATGTTTTAAGAGTCAATTTTAAAGGCTAGGATAATTGTGCAAGACGCTTGGCTTCAGAGATGTGTCAGGGAAGTAATCCTGCCCTAGTCAAACAGGCCGTGAAAAATCCATACGGCTTTACTTAAGTTTTACAAAATTCATTGGTTAACTGTTGCAGAGTCTGGTGAACTTGGTGTGCGGAGCTGTAGTATTTGAGGGTGAGGGTAATCTGTTTCTTGCAGTTATGAGTGTTATGTTTGCCAGTATCCCATAGATCTTAAATTAAAAGTATTTTTATGCTCCTTTTTAGCCCTGGAATAAGATCAGATGTAAGCTCTTCTCCATCCACCACCTCAGCAACTACGGGACCACCTCCCAAGCTTTGTCTTGTTTGCTCCGATGAGGCCTCTGGGTGCCATTACGGTGTTCTTACTTGTGGCAGCTGCAAAGTGTTCTTCAAAAGAGCTGTGGAAGGTAAGACATGTTTTGATGAATTTGCTGTTTAAAAATATAAAATCCACATGCGTATCATCCACATTCCAAACCGGTCTATTTGGTCTTACTGGAATCCATGTTTTTGCTAGAATCCTACTGGAAAATCCCATCCATTGTATCACTGATCTTTTCATAGTAAATAACATCGATAATGGTGTGATTATCTGAAGCATAGATTCCATTTACATTTATAAAATGCTCCTATTCACTCACAGTGTGAAAGGATGTATTGTTGTCTTGGCTTTTTGTTTCTTTCGTTTTCTTTCACTGTTGTTTTTGTTTATTTGTCCTATTTATATACAGATACTTGTGTGCCTTAGATTTGTAAAGTTTGTGATTTTACGTTTAATGTTAGCTGTTTTGTGTATAAAACTGTATGTGAAACTTGATAAATCTCTTGTATGCAAGATTACGATAGTTGTACGATTTTTCCTATAACCAGTATTGATTATATTACATACGTGTCCACGCGGAGTATCTGCAGGGGTAGCTAGAGAACAGGAACATGTGTGGTTTTGGATCATAAAGATTTCTCTCTAATCACAGGAAGAAAATAGTTCTAGAAAATAGAGGTGATGGCAAACTAATGTGAATCTGTAGTGTGTATAGCAGAATAAGTAACCTGTGGTTTTGGGGCTGCATCAGTAGCCATTAGGTAATGAGTGAGGTTGTACCTCGATGTCTGGCTCTTCGCTTCAGTATCGGATGCAGAAAAGTTAGCGTACGTTCTCAGTGTCTCTGAAAGGATAGTGATTCCTCTGTTCTGAAATTATGTCGTTCTTAGTTACAGCCTTACAGGGTTTCCTGTCTCATGACTTCTTCATGCAGCCATTCCTGAGTATTTTGAAGTGAATCAGACTGTCATTTTTTTGCTAACATTTTTGCAAGCTGGGTTGCACTGGAGAAGAGGGAAGGCTATTTTGACAAAGACAAGCCGCCATTCAGTTTTTCAGAAGAAGCACTTCCTCTCAGTTCCCAGCTCCCTGGATGCAATGGGGAGCTCCATGGAAATGCAGAGCCTCTCGGAGGGATCGGAAAAGTCAAGCTCGTATCGCAGTTCCTGCTAGTCACAAGGGGAAAGGATGTCAGCTCTGTGGGAAGCTGAAGCTGTTTCTGAAGTATAACAAGAAACAATGTGAGCTCAAGTGCAAAGCGCTCAGCTGCTTGGGCTCCCGCTGCCTCCCACCTGGTCCTGGCTGGAGTTGCACTCCCATTTAGAGCCAGGCTCTATCTGAAGCAAATAATCATCTGTGTCTTTGATTAAAATAAGGTCATGGCAGCTGAATATATGTCATAGCGATGGTTTTGCCCGTCCTCAAGCTTAAACAAATCACAAAAGTATTGAGCCGTGAAGAAATCAACCCAGTAATTCCTTTTGATCAGTGATACGACTTGCCGCATCTTATATCGACTGTATTAATGTTAAAGATGTAAGCAGGCTTGTAGCTGAAAAGTTGCAATAAATTTCTCAAAGGCTTACCTCCGCTTTCATTTTTATTGTTCCACAGATTATCCCAACTGTAATCCTTCCCATTAGATATTGTGGATGTTTTCAGGAGCTCTTCCAGGATCTGTTAGTTCTAGTATTCACGTTAAGGAACAAATAATTTGCCTTGGTCTCTTACAGGCATTTTTCTTATTAGGAACATATGTAAAAATAATCTGTTTCTGTAATATCCTTTTTATTAATAGCTGCCAGGCACCTGTTAGTATACAGATCGAGCTGACTCGGCACATTGGTTATCCAGGCTTTAGCCTGAAACTGTTTTTTGTAGCTTTGTCTGCATGCATGTGTACTGCAACGGAAACAGTCACAGAAACTGAAAGTAACAGTGTCTAGAAAATCAATATAAAGTGTATTTCTTTCAGCAAAGAGTAGAACTAGAGGAGAAGAGGAAGGGTGAAGGTGGAAGATCAGCTGCATACTTACCCCCGGTTCTTCACGCAAACAGGCCTTTCTTCAGGAACCCAGGATGGCCAAAGCCATCTTGTTCGAGTTCTTATTTTCATGGTGCTTCAGAGCCCAGAGCCCTCGTGATTCATTTTCTTCGGTTCCAGAACCAACCCCGTTCACCTCCCAGCACGTTACCCCCACCCTGCTGCAACCCAGATCTTCGCCGCTCCTCCCCACCTCCGCTTCCTCGCCTCGCTTCCTCGCCTCACACCTCCCCTCCGCCACATTCCCCCAACACCTCTGCCTCCTCCTGTGCTCCAGATTGTCCTTTTCTTCAGCCTTTCTAATTCCATCTCCCAAACCCCTTTGTCTGCAATTTCTAACCTTTTTACACGCCGGTGCACTCCGATGAGCAAAGACCGTAGTGCTTTAGAGCCCCAGGCGCTGACTTGTGCTACGGGCACTGCAACGTTCAAGAGTGTCTGGCCTCTCTGTAAAATGCTCCTATCTGCTGTAAATTCCTTGGAAATACCTCCATTTGCTCGCTATCAATTTTTACCAATGTTTTGTTTGTGAAGCATATTTGTCTGGTTTTGGAAATGCATTCCTTTGGGCAACTGGCGTGTCCTCTGGGCAGCAGTCAGACAACGTGAAGCAGAAGGTGGAATCAACTTCCCTTCATTTTTCCACAAAATGTTCATGTGACATTTAATATAATGTAATACAAAGAAATAGCGTAGCTTTCATCTAAAAAAGGCTAGAATAGGTAAGTAGTAAATAAATCAAACTACTTTCACAGAGACGAAGCTCTTTGTTACGGGGAAAAAAAGTGGAACAGCTTGGGAAAATCTCCTGAAGCATCGGTATTGACTGTGTGAAACTATCAGTTGAACATCTCTGTGAGACATGGGATTGTAGTCTCTGTTCTGCTACAGTGATGACAACTATTCATCGATTTATAGTACCTGTGTGTGCGTGTATATTTGTTCTATACATATTAGTACGCCAGTGGTAAACAGAATCCTGAATCACGGATCTGTTTTCAAAGTTATCTTAAACACAAAGATGACACAAGGGTCAGTAAGGCTTCCTCTTCTTCAAATGAAAAAGAAAGGGGGGTTCATTCAGAAAAATGTTCCTTGGAATGTCAAGGGACTTGGAACACTTCACTGGAGAAGCTTGACTAAAGCCATAGCAATGGACTCTGCTTACCCATCATTTTCACAGCCGACCTGAAACAAATTCCCTAACCGTGCTCTTTTTCTGTGAGAAGACTCCTAGGCGCCGTTGTTAATAACTCAGCGTTTGGAAAATATGCTTGTTTCTCTCGCTATTATACTGTCAGGACTTTGAAATACAGTGTAAAAGCCCTAGGTAGCAGCTTTCTCCCAACTAAAGAAACATCTGGCTTTTGATCCCTGTCTGAGAGAAGGATATATCTTTCACTAATACTTTTCTCTAAAGTTACCTTGAGGCAAGTATTCATATTCAAATAATTAAGAATAGATACTGCTCTTCTGTTATTCTGCTCTTAACTAAGGAATACAGTTAATTTATGTAGCTCAAGTTGCCATATTTCTAGGGTCAGTTTTGCTCTGAATCTGTGAGTCCATAAAAGTGTCAGAGAACTTAGTTTGTCCAGTTCAGACTCTAAAGTTAAACAAGAGGGGGTTTCATGACTTTCGAAGTGATGAAAGCTATGTCTTTGTATCTGTAGAAATGCTGACATTTCCAAATGTGTTTATGAATGTTATTTACATCTCCTGTGAAACTGTTCAGGGAAATTGGAAACATGCTATAGAAGATAGCTTTGAGGCATGTAAGAGAGAAACAGTTGTAAAAATAGAATTTGCCTGATGTTAACAAATAGAAAATAGGATTTCTTCCTGAATTTATTGGCTTTGCTGTCTAAATGTGAGAAATGCGTTTGGTGTGTAGATACATGAAATCAGATGGATACTGATCTTATTTTTGCAAGAGGCAAGGTACAGTAAGTAAAGATATTAGGTAGTCCCCAGATCCTTAACGTTGCTGAAAGAATGAGTGGCTTCATCTACTACTCTAATTGTAGCGCTTATGGTTATTTTGTTTGTCTTTGTGCATACAGGGCAGCACAACTATCTGTGCGCTGGGAGAAACGATTGCATTATTGACAAAATTCGGAGGAAAAACTGTCCAGCATGCCGCTACCGGAAATGTCTTCAAGCTGGCATGAACCTCGAAGGTAACTTAAAATGCTCAAATCCCCTTTTTATGTTTGAGTCCTAGGCAATAAAGGTCACGCTGCTTATGAAGCTAAAGCAATTATTTGAGCAGCCCTTTAATATGTTAAAAGCAAGTACTGCATTTTATGCGTGTATGAGCGTTTTAATGAAAAGCAAGATTTTTTTTTTTTTTAACGGTGAAATTTCTCCTATACTTTTCTATCCATACTCAATTGCTCTGTCTCTCAGTATGTTCAGCAGAAGTGAGTCATACACACAAAACTGAGTTATTTTTTATTCCTGTCAGCACATGTATCTTGTTGCTTTTTCACTGATTCTGAGACAGCAGAACTCTAGGAAAACTTGTAGGGAAGTGTGACGCCTGCCTGTCCGTACTCAGGGGAGTGATCTGACACTGAAACCACAGATGAGAGGGAAAGCCCAGAGATGCAGATGTAAAGCTGGAGTGGAGCTTGTATTTTCAAACTGAAGACAAGGAAATTATTTTTGTTCATGCTGTGGATTCTTCTTAAATGTCTGTCGGAATCTCTCTAGAAAAGATAGGTTGAATAAATAGATTTAAATGTACCAGTACATATTTATTCTCCACTAAGTCCTGGATGGCTTATGAGAAACTGAAGACCACATCAACTAGAGATTGAGCAGCAGTTGTGAAATGGCATAAAACATTTTTATTAGTGTCAGCTACATTTTATGCTTGATATTTTTTTTCCTTGAGCTGTAGAGATGAACGCAGTACTTACTAGCATAGTTATCATGGTGGTACTTGTATAATCAAAACTGGCAGATAAAATAAAAATGTCAAAAATGTATTTGTCAGATACAAATAGGAACAGAGTTTCATTTCAGTCACTGAAAATATCCTTTGGTAAAATGTAAGTGGTGAGTTATGTTAAAGAGCTAGATGATACTCGTACTGGCATCTATGTTAGCACGTCCTTTCTTCCTCTTCTGCTTCCAACCTCTCTCAGGAGGACGAAACCCCAGTTTTTCTGCCCTGCAGGTGGCTTTACGTGCCCCTTCCTTCAGAGCAAAGGGAAAAAACCCAACGGGCCAAAATGCTTCCCCTCCTCTGACGAGTTACAAGTACATCCCGTCCTTCATGGTAGGGATTTGCAGGGAGGAGCGGGGGGAGGTTGCTGGTCGGTTTGTTGAAGCGTTACTGTCATCTCTGTGCAGGATGTGAGTTACATCTCTTAACAGCCAAAATCTACAATAGTGGGTTCTAAAATAAATCCTTAAAGTACATGAGGTTGTCAACACGTGTCTCCCGGGAGCTAGATTTAGCTTGTCAGACAGTCCCGGGTGGGCTGGACCTCGCGCTTCAGAGATAATAGCAGGGTAGCCCACTTGCCTATTCTTGGTGCCCAAGGTGGGAAGATGCAATGTCCTGCTGGGGCGGGTGTGGCCAGTAGCAGAGGCAACAGTAAAGCCTAAAGAAAGTTCAGAATAGTGCAAAAAACCACAGTTTTCATTTTGAGGTGGAAAATAATACATTTTTGTTTTAAGACTTGTTTCTATTTTTACTCACCGTAGTTGTTTTCAAAATACATACATCGTGTTCATATATTTATCTATATGCATAAAGCGCCTTATTATGTATATTACTCTAATAGTAAGCCTTTCCATTCCTGCATCAATTTGCATGAACTCTTTTAAAGTAGACGCCAATGTAGCTATCTCAGGCTCTAGGACGTGTTATTTGAGTTGACTTTCTGCACCAAAGAAAATTAAAATTGAATGACATCTGATACTTGCCACTTTTCCACATATAGTTTGGAGCCCTTCCAGCTATAGTTTGTTTGCCTGAATTTTGGCACAGAGAATCCTAGAGAACAGTGACTTTTTGGAGGATGGATATTGTTATATAAGCTGTTGGAAAAGGCGGGGGGGGGGGGCAGAGCTTTTATGACTAAGAGGGAAAAGAGATCTAGAAATTCAGCAATGCAAAAAAATGGAAGAACCATGAAAACGACGATTTATCGGACAGACCTGAACAGATGGTGAATTGGCTGTACAGAAGAACTTGTAGAAAAGAAAACTGGAAGGCAGCGTGAAATGCCGAAGAGACTAAAAAAAAGTTCCTTTTATCTTGGCTACTTTAGGGTCACAGTTCAGGAATTACTGTTGTTTAAAGCATAATGAAATTTGCATACTTTTTAGACAGTAATTTCTTTTTGAAAAGTCATCAGGTGTATCCTCGGTGCATAAATAATGGTTATAAGCAAACCAGTTAATGAATAGCAAGAGATCAAAATATCCTAGCATGGCAGTCCGCGGGCCCCTTTCACTTAGCCTTACTTGCTGGTAGACTTCTTCCATGAATCTGTCTGGTCACATTTCGAATATCTCTAGGTTTCTAACACCTACAGTGAATTTCACTGTTAGGCAATGGGTAGAAGACTAACTTATTTTTAAATAAATTAAAAAAAACCCCAACATCTACGATGCAGTATTTTAATTCTTACCTGCTCTTGTGCTGAGACAGAAGTGGCTCCTTGTGCGCTAGATGCATGGTGCTTGATAATTTTCTATTACAGTCTGGTTTATCATCAGTCATGCCTTCGGCCCTACTTCTCACTCTGTCTGGAATTGTTTCTATTGCATGGGTTTTTTGGGTATAGGGGACTGGAAAAGCGTACAACTGTCAAGCTGCAGGTACTGGAGATTTATACGGTAGAATAATGATATTTTGTACTATAGCCTTTATTTCTTTGAATTCTCATTCTGCTTTCATCATTAATTGACCCTAGGCATTCTTTGGCACCCTTTCTCTTTCTGTTGTGTTTGAAAAAAAAGATTTATTGTTAGGTTTTACGCCTGTAAAAAGTCATCTCATATTTTTTTTGGCCTTTTGTACTGCATTTTATAGTTAAACTGCTGGCAATTTATGGGGTTTTTCTGTCGTCTTCATTCTGAAGGTATTTCAGTTTTTTGAAGGATCTCTTCCTCTTTCTAATACTCATTGCCCTGCTCTGTAACTGCAGCGGGGTTTGCCATTACCGGTCCCTTTTCAGAAGGGAGGTGCACGGTCTCCCGCGTGGTGGTGGGAACGTTTGGTCGCCTCCCGGCCGCGGCCGGCGTGGTTCACGTGCGCCGGCTGGCCGCCCCGCGGGCAGGAAATGCGTGCAATAAAGTAAGAAGCCCGTACAACCTCGCTGGATGCCGAACTGCAGGGGGTTTGGGGTTTTTGCGGGGGGGGATTGTTTGTTTTTAACAGAAGATCTTGGGTGCTTCTATTTCCATGCCGAGTTTATCTGTATGGGTTATCTTCTGTAATTTGCCCTAAGGAGCTGGCGTTAAATTTGTGGTATTTTTATATTTGAAAATAAATTGTGAATAAATACATTATCTCGACCTTCCTTTTTTGTGAGTTACAACTATATATCAAAGTCAGGTCTAATAGCATAGCCTAATAAAAATTCTTGCGTAATACTTTGTCTTATCAGATATATTTCTTTTGATTATAATTTTACCAGACTTTCTGGGCTGGAAACACTCCATACCAGGTGTCTGCATTAAGCTGAAGGCATGTGCATGTAAACTTAAGTCAAAGCAGTTCGTTTGCTTTTGAGAAAAAGGATAATGGGGCAAAAAAAAGCCAGAATGTTGAAAGGATTTTGGAGCAGCCATTTCAAAATCTAGATGAGAGTAACAAGCAGCTCGTTGCTCCGTGGAGATCACTGTTGCTGTGCCCCCATGACAGTCTTGGCAAATGTGGCCAGTGGGTGAGCCTTTGGGAAAATGCGATTTATACAAGGTCCATAGAGAATTTCTTGTCTTTAGAAATTAGTCTCTGAAGTCTCTGTCCTAGGCAGTGGGAGAAGCGCGGTCAGGAGGGGGATTTTACATGTTGTTAAGCTACAGAGTTGGTGCATTTCTGATGATCAGAGATTCTGAATCGGTCAGTAGAAACTTTGAATGTGAAACCACATTACGTGATGCTTTCATGTGCTACTGATTTATCTCGGAAGTTCCAGAACAGAAATCAATTAATTAATTGAGAGACAGGAAAAGAGCTGGGTTTCATTTTGGTCTTGGTTAAATAGTGCGTTCAGTGTAGCAGACTGCATCCAGGAGAGCCGACAGCCAAGTAGGAGGCTCCGTTATTGACAAGATGCTAATAAAATTGTTGCTCCAGCTTTTTGTAGTTTATAGTTAACATCTCTGTGTGATGTTTTATTTATTTGGCGAATGAGTTTTATGGTTTAATTGCGCAGCAATGATTTATAGGCAAGAGAGTTGGCCAGAGAAAAATCTCCTCCTGCCCAGCGTTTTCAAAAAAATGTTTTCCCTGGCTCAAGAGATTGAGTAACTTCTTACCTATTAAATATATTTTTCCCTTTCTTCTGTATGGTTTCTACACTTCATATTTTAAGGAACTTACAAAGTTTGCAGTCCTGCAAATATTTCCGACAAGGTGTCGTGCTGCCACGTGAAGTTGCACTGACATTTTGCATGTAACAAATTGTAGGATGAGGCCTTGCGTTTGTACTACCTGCAGCCGTTACTCAACATTTTGAAACATTAACGTAAATGTGACTTTCATTAAAACGTAAAATAAACTTATTTTCACAGGAAGTTTACTTAGAATTGAAGTGAAATTATTTGCAGATTTATGAAAAAATGCTTTAAAAGTTTCAACTGCCTGATCTAGAACTGCAGGAAAACGGAAGCAGCATTTCCTCCGTTACGGTTTTATTGCTGTGTGCTCACTTTCCATTATCTAACCTGTGACTTACCAAAACTTTCCTAGCTCGAAAAACAAAGAAGAAGATAAAAGGAATTCAGCAGACGAACGTGCCGGGAACGCGGGATGTTTCTGAAACCCCTGGAAACAAGAGCATCGTTCCTGCGTCCCTGCCGCAGCTGACCCCGACCCTGGTTTCGCTGCTGGAGGTGATCGAGCCGGAGGTGCTGTACTCGGGCTACGACAGCACGGTGCCCGACTCCAGCTGGCGGATCATGTCGACTCTCAACATGCTGGGAGGGCGGCAGGTAGTGGCTGCAGTGAAGTGGGCAAAGGCAATACCAGGTAATGTGCAAGTGCAAGGGCAAAGTGCAGCCTGGCTGTCGCACTTAAAGTCTGTCTCCGTGTTCGGTATCCTTCAAAGCCTTCGCAGATGAAGTTTTAGTAATACCTGGGCTGATTCGTGTCTCGAATGCATCTGGGGTGGAAAAGCATTAAAAACACAGACGCAAAAATTTATTGACTAGGGTTACAAGTGAGGTCATTTTACTTGAGCCCTTTGACCACCGAGTGTTAAAATTCCTGTTAAAATAGGGATTTGTTTTTAAAAGTAATACAGAGAACTATTTTTATTAGCTCTAGCTGCCCCTCTTAGATAATTGTTTCTTGAATGTCTTTAGCAATGAGGTTCTCTTCACTTCTGTGGACTGGTGCTGCTCTGCCGGCTTGCCTGGGTCTGCATTCGTGGATGGTTCTTTTTTTACTACCCCTCGCCATATCTGTAGTTTTTTCTCGACTGGGAATAGGCTTTTGAGCGTGCAGTCCCATAGTGGAAGTCAAGGTGTTCATTTTCTCTCAAGCACTGTAGCTACACCATTAAGCTGACTGTTACCTGGGGAACGTGGAAGGTTTGTTGCTCTTTTGGCTCCCACCTGAAGACACAGCGAGCAGTTGCCTTGCAGAAGAAGTGGCGTCAAATCTCAGCCTTGGACGTAACGCGTGGCGTCCTGTAGCGCGGCTCTGGGAGAGGCCAGGGCCGAAAGCAAAGCTGAAGATCAGAACAAAGACCGGTGCTTTTCTCCCTTTCACTTCTACTCAGCACCGTTAGCTACCTGTTTTCAAAAACCCTAGCAAAAACACCTCCGTAATGCAAATGTTGCCCAAGAATAACGTCACGTAACAGGTCTGCCAAAAAAAAAAAAAAAAACCAACCCAATTGATCATGAAATTTATGAGTCATAATGGTGCCTCTTTTGAGGCGGAGGAAATAAATGAACGGTCGGAAAGAAATGCTCGTAAACTCAAACATATGTATGTCCAGCAGAGATGTGAACAGATTTGTGTGTCTGTCGGGGTTTTTCTGCAGTGGGGAATTAACGCTGAATCAGCGAAGGTCCGCATTAGGAAAAGTTGCCGTGTGCACACTTTCTTCTGGGACAAGTCTTGAGGAGACCATCTGGTATTCACAAATACAAATTTAGGTGCCATTTTCATAAAGCAGTTCTGTGTTCATAATCTCTTCTGAGCAGTTTCCCTTCAGGTTAGAACATAGGCTCTTAATGAAAATACCAATCTTCTCTTTAATGATTATATCAATAGGAACTATTCTTATCATTTTTTTATATTCTTCTTTTTTTTTGTTTGCTAAGGTGGTTCTTCATGAGTATTTAATTTTAATAACTGTTACTGGCTATACACCATCAGACGTACTAACAGTAAGCCAGCATTGGTTGCTAAATCCTTTAGTTGGGATTTCAGAATAGCCTTTTCCAGAGGAGGGTTTGAGCAGAGATTTCAAGATTTGACCCAGTAAGTCTGAAACAACTTTGAAACACTTGGCTTGTATTTTAGAAGTAGTAAATGGTAGTCAGTGCTGTCTCCAAAGCCAGAAGCTTTTCCTGAAGTTGTTAGACATACCAAGTTTTTTTAATATATTAACCTACTCAATGCTATCTACTTCAGTGTCTTCAGGAAGCAGCACTGTAATGAGCTCTCTGGATGGCAGATGATTAATAAAATTAAATAAAATCAACTTGAATTCAGACTTTAATAATGATTCAATGTGGCAAAATATTTTCTTGCTAAATATAGGCAGGATCTGATAGAGACTAGTGTTGCAAATTAAAAGCTGCCTACATTTTAAGACTGTTTAAGGGACCAATTTTCAGATTTTACACGTTGCCTCGTTTAATTGGCTCTGTTCATGCTACATAGTCGTAGAAGATTAGAAGATGATCATTAGATGGTAACTAATGCTGTACCTATTTTGTAAGTTCAGATTGTTGTTGAGTAAGAACAAAATTTGACACTAAACCATTTATTGTCTAGTGGACTGCTCTCTCAAAAAGTAAAAAAATACTGTTATTTTTGGAAGATAGGCAAATGAATTATAGTGTATATTAAATATAATTGTTGTCTTTTGTATCTATCTAACTGACCATCAGTTCCAGATAAGCACACACATACATTCTGATTGTTTTTTTAATATTACATCCCCTTTTGATACCTGTAGTACCTTTCAAGAATTATCCGTCTGGTACTCTGGCTGTCCGCAAAGTAACTAACGTCATGGTTGTCCGAGCCCGGGGCTTTCGGTGGGCGTGCACTTTTGTAGATGGGGTGCTGAGAATTTCTTTTGAAAATGTAGATATGTAAATGTAAATATAACGGATAATGCAAAGTTCAAGAGTTACTCTTTCTGTTGTTGTTTTGCCTGGTTTTCTGGGTTATGTATGTTTTGTGTGGTCGAGAGTTACGCATTCAAACCAGCTCAAGGCTGAGTTGTACTGAAGCCTTCTGTTCAAACCACGCAATCTCAAATGTAGTCATATTATCCAGAAGACGTAACTTGAGTCCTTTGGTTACGAACGCTTCATTTCTATGTGTGCAAAATTTTGAATAGGCAAAGGATTCCTTAATGGCATACCAAGTATTTGAATGTAACCTTAGTAGCTGGAAAATGGCGTTGAAATTTTGCACCCCTTTTCAAGTGCATTTTTTTTCATTCAACAAGAACTTTCCCATAAGAAACCACTTATTATTCTAATTTCTTTTTCTCTTCTGCCAAAAATCTAATCTAAAATACAGAAATACTTGACTGAATCAGATGATTGTAATATGACAAGAAATTTTGTTGTTATTTCAGGTTATCACAGTTACAGAAACTGTTATCAAACTTAAAAGTGGTAATCTACCTTGTCAATACAGAAGCTGTACTGATGATAAGATGGTCCTTTTCACAGGTACGGTTTTTTTCTTTTCTTGCAACCAGTACTGTCACACCTGCATTTTTCTTTTTCCAGGTTTCCGAAATTTACATCTGGATGACCAAATGACCCTTCTGCAGTACTCCTGGATGTTCCTAATGGCGTTTGCTTTGGGATGGAGATCATACAGACAATCAAATGGAAGTCTCCTGTGCTTTGCACCAGACCTGGTTATGAACGAGTAAGTAAGGCGCGAGGCGGTTTCCAGGCTTCTCAGGGTGATACTGGGCGCCACGCAGTATTTCTGGGTTTTGCTCGAGAGGTGAATCACTGGGTAGCAAATCCTTGCAGAGCTCGCAGATCAGTCTGTCATTTGCAACTTGTTTTTCTTTTAGCAGATTGCTTAGAGTTTTTTAAATAAGTCAAATGGAAGAAAGGTATTTTGGATATTAAGTGTATTTATATCAAGAGGTTTTTGTGGGAGGTGTTTGTACTAAAATGTTCCATATTGTGACTGTTCCCGCACCATTCATTATAATCGCTCATTTTATCAGAGCCAACACAGTTGAAGCTAAAAATATATCTGGGATGGAGAGAAAAGTTTGGCAAATTGCATAGTCTTCTGTATGTTTATTGTATAGAAGTGCTAGTGTGGTCCTACCAGTTTCACAGAGTTCCTGATCAGTTAAACGTTTATATCTGAGCCTGATTAAACTCTGGATAAAAAGACAAGATTACAAATGGAAAAATGGCTGACTTGTTGTTGTTGTTGAACTTTGTTATCAATTTTCAAGAAAAATTGAAATTGCTAGAATATTTGGACATCTTTTTTCTTGCACCATGTATCGTTTTCCTTGTATTTGTCAAACCTGTGTTGTGCAGTAATTCCGTGTTGTAGAGGAGTGAAAGAGGGAGTTCGGGATTGTTGGGTGACGGGCAGAAGGCTCGGTTTGAGGCTCAGCGGGTATAAACATTTTGCGCAGCCGTACGCGTCGTTGCATTACGTGCCAGGTGCTATTCCGGAGGTGTAGTAGCCGATCGGGTTAGGTGATGCCTCTCTGCCCCCAGTCTGGAGAGCAAACGCTCCGTCTAAACCCTCTCTTGTAGGGATGTGTTTGGGAGTCGGCGCCGATGGCCTGGGAAGCCGTTTCAGCGATTGTGTCCTTCAGCTCGTACTCTAAAAAGCAGTTTCTGTAAGCAGGT